AGGGGAAGCTGTGCTGATCCAAAAACTTTGCCAGCTCTACGGCTAACCGTTCCTCTATTCTTATGGAGATAATGGTGCATTCTACTAGCCTTGTAAAACTATGTAAAAAAATTATTTCCGTTTTCGATTTCTACTTCTTACAATGAGTCGGAAATGATTTCCGGGTTGATCGATCTTCTTTGTGATGGGCCGCGCACTCGATCGCATTCAAGGTGGTTCTGGTTGTTGTATGCGTATTTATCATACATAGTCGTATGCTAAAACATTCAAGAAAGCATGGACAGGTTCCAATGGGCCTTTCTTTACGTGTACATAATTGCTGACTACATCGCATTGCCATTAGACAATGTAGAGCGACGCGTGCCTGCGTGGTAGTCGAAGCGCTTTCAGTAGGGTCAAGATTGAACAGTGCTCACCATAAGCATGTTTCGTATCCATTGTAGTATGCCGTCACTACTGTCGAGAGGATGCCCCTCTGAACTTTCTGTTTTATGAAACAACAGTTGCTTCACTTATACCACAACTGGGCAGTGTTCATGAGAAGGCAAACAATTTTGGCATTTTCTTTCCCACCGAGAGAATTACAGCATACGAACTTCAAAATCGCTAATTCCAATGAAGCTGGCGAACCAAGCAAAAGAGGAAGAAGTTGCTCAAACCCATTCTCGGGTGGTCAGGAAGCGAGCAGGCTCTCCAGGCCAGTCAGTCGAAAGATCACGAGCTGGTAGAAAAAGACGTGAAAAATGTAGATAATCTCGAATTCCAAATCCCGCATGCTCCTGCTTTGTTTTTCGAGTGTTTTTTTTATTCAGATCTAACCTTGGTTCGCCGGTTTTCCAGGATTCATGTGTCTACATATATGTATAAATTGAATAAATTACATGCAAAGTGGTCACTAGTTATAAGTTTCTCTTTCAAATGGGCAACATTTACACACCTTGAGTGGTGCATTAGAAATTGAAGATCATCAGCATTAAAGGCAGATTTCACGATGAAAAGTTAGCTCATTGGAAATAAGGGTAGAGGTGGTCAGTGGAGCAGGGATGAAGAAGAAACCATTTGAAACGGCCCGAAACCCGAGAAATGGGACCCCTTCCTTGCCCGTTGATTTGCGCATTGATGCGACTCTCATCGCTGTGCCCTCTTCAACACTACGCTCTCTCTGCTATCTAATCACTCGCCACGTATAGACCTGCGGCGAGTGATCAGATATCGGTGGGCGTACCCCGCCAACCGCGCCAACTTCTGCCCTTCGTTCTTGTCGTGAATTCCTCCTTTGAGCATTTTCATTTGTAACGGGCCACATTTGTTTTCTCCCAATGTTTTCTGCTATTGCAGTGGAGGGAGTGGAGGTGTGGCTGCATGTGGTGCCGCCTACCAAACGCATGGTTTCTGGGTCAGAACCCGGATCGACTTTCAACCAAACTAAACAGCGCCTTCACCCCTTTAAAGTTGCACAGTTGTTATATATAGAACCATATTCGTTTGTGCATTGACCAATCCACATTCCAACGATGATGAAAGCAATTGAAATGCGTGGGACGAATGCTAAGTGGACTTGATAAACGCAGAATTCTCAATGCCTTTTATGGTGGGGTGAGCGATATTTATACAATTTTCACTGACGGAGATTCCCATTCTCTTTGCAAAGGATACGGTCGCCTTGTAAAATTTCTGCTTTTGCTGAGAGTTAAACATTTCCAAAGGGTTTCCAGACACATTAAATCGTAGAACGAACTCCTGTGACTCTTAAACGGAAAGTGTTTGCATCTACACGGTTGTAGTATTATAAGAATTTTTACACTACCCTGCAAAAAACTGTAAGGGTTTTTTAACCAACAGCTCTTGACGGCCTCCGTTCTTCGAAGGTTACATTGGCACATAAAAGCCGGCATAATAGGCGGAGAGCCATACGTTCACGAAAACATGCATAGTGGTCGGAATGGCAGCAAGAAGGAAGAATAATGCGTTCATTCAGCTATTCTTCCCTATTTATTCATTTATCATTTCGACAAACAGGCGTGATTACTTCACAACAAAGAACTCTAGTTGCTGACCCTCCGGTGTTCGTTTCCTGTAAGTTTGAGGTGGTCGCTGAAGAGCGGCTCTCAAGTCTCAGCGTTGATGGAACCGCCGGAAACGCCACCACTCGAACGTCCAAGTTTGGAACACCACGTCATTAAGTGGAAGAAAACCGAACTCGTTCTCAGAACCAATTCCTCGGAGGTCAGCCAACTTGTTCCTCTTCGATGGATAACCGATTTTCATCTCCGCCGCAGGGGTTGTGTGATGTGAAACCACCGTCACACGCGCGCACGCAACCCCTGCGGAGATGGGAATCGCTGTGGTAACAGGTATCCATCATTAGACTGGGGAAAAGCTTGTGATCTTGTTCGAGATCACCGCGGGTGAAAGTGAGTGGAGTGGAAGTGTAAGAACACGAAAAATCACCAGTTTATTACAAATTACACTGCAAGCACAGAAATATGGTGTCAGATTATCACAGATTAGCTAACAATACGATGTGAGCGATGCGAACTGTACTTCGTAAACTTGAAAAAGCGCAATGGCTGGGCGACTTATCCAGATCAACAAATAATCAAAACAACATATAACAGTGACTAGCCGTCTCAATTTTTCGCAACAATCAAGCTTGAGTAACTACACTTACAATCACAATAACTTTTAGTCTCTCATTTACCTACATTACCCATCGAACATCATAGTGAAAGAAATTTAGCAAACAATCTCTAATTCGTTGGAAATTCACGAAATCGTTATCTATAAAATACAACCCACAAATTTTACAGGGTGCCAGTTCGGTTGGTCATTAATCTGAGAAACATAGCAATTTTTCATAAAATGAATTTTACCGAATATTTGACCTCTACAAGGGCGCCAGTTCTGGCCTTTCCAGCCAAAAATTCGCAATTTGTACCAAAACTTTTACGGATGATGCCAAATGAAAAATGTGGAGGTGAAAGCATAACCGAAAGGGTCCCACTTCGGAAAAAAAAAAGTTCAGTGTTTTCTCCAATTTTTTATTATGACAGCGAAAAGGTCCCAAAAGACTTAGGCTGGAACAGTCCAGAAGGTTTTCACAACAAATTAGGGATGGATGGGAAAATCTTTGCGGACTCAGAATCCCGTGTTTTTCAAAGGATAGTACTGTCTTCGAACTGTTCATCGTGAAAGTCAATCATACTCTAAGTATGTTACGTACCATCAAACATCATAGAATCAAACACAACTTCCTCGCCTTTCTTGCAAGATATTGTCAAAGCCTATAGAATAGGCTCATTAGGTTGCACAGAAAGTTTCCGCCGTTCTTTGGACTACTAGAACATTTTTTGCTCCCGTGTGTGAGCTCCAAGCTGAAAAGCATTCCGGCGTTGTACATCAAAATGTGCGGCGGTTTGTGACTTGAATGAATTCAACAATTCAAAATAATTGCATTATTGACAGCTCACTAAAAATCAGTGGAGAACTTCCGATAATAACATGTCTTTCATGGGTTGTTCAATTAACACTGATAGATAAAGCTTGATCCATGGCAGGGGCAAAACTTTTTAACTCAAAAAGTGTTTCACACAGCTATATTAGCTCTGTTTGTAGGTATACGAAGTTATACGATGCAGCTTGGGTTGCTCACAGATAAACACTATTGAGAGACGGCTGCACGGAAACCAAAGCCCTCGAACCTCCTCTTTAACCAGCCTGGAACGGCTGCTGCCAAGGAAGTGGACGAACTTGTTTTTGCATCGGTTGCATAACTGTTTCCCATTGCATCCCCATTTTATCCCGCTTATGAACTAGGGCCACCTCTCGGCGGATGGCAAAAGAATGTGCGGCTGATACTTTCTGGAAGGAGACTAGTTATCACAACACATTGCCGTGCGAACAACCAATACCGCACCGGCTTGAGCAGAATTTTGTTGCAAAAATCGCTGCATACCCTTAAAATGATACCCCCTTCGGAATTATCGATCGGAAAATTTGCTAAGAGGTTAAATTGACCGCAACCGTTATGAAAAGGTTTGGGAACATTTAGCACACCCTGTAAATATTTCAAGCTAATGCCAGGCACATGTGTCAAAGAAACTTTAAAGCTCATCAACAAAGTTTGATTCCATCTTAACACTACACCTACGTAACGCTTATCACAGCTATCACTAGGAAAAGCTTCGAGAGAGCAAGCATGGAGGCGGAAACAACGAAAAGATGCTTATGTATGGAGAAAAATTCAAAAAAAGTACTGTACAGATGCCTTTCATAAGGAGATCTGATTGAGTTGGGTAGCTACAGCACGCCAGTGTATCCAATGTGGACCAATTCTCACACTTGTGCTACCACTTATTCGATTGCACCAGACTGAGGAAGATTCTGAACACTTCCTCGTCCTTGATAAGCCGTCGTGTATGACGATTCCGACTCTTTTCGTGGTGACTGCAAAAAAATTCACTGGATCGATAGTCATGGAACAATTCCAATCTAATAAACACTAAGCAGTAACTTTTTCATCGCGACAGCATGATGTGGTAATGACTACTCAAATGATATGGCACAAATGGAAGTGCGATTCAATCCTTTGAAAAAGAAACGGAAAGGTGGCGTGAGAACTTTTAATAAGAAACCCACTCTAGCACAGCGCGTAGGGAGACTGCCCATTGCAGGTCTCGCACTACAAACTCGGCCGACTCCGTGGATTAAGAGCTAGTGTACCACTCTATTTTTAGAGCAAGACCACACTCTACTGAGTCAATTTTGAATATATATGTCTAAACATACATCATTTTCGAAGGATCCTGGTTGGAACGCGGTCTCGTGGTGCTCCATTGCAGGCACTAGACTGTACATTATCATTGAGTTCAGTGTTTGGCGGAGATCGGAATAGAAAAATTGAAGTGAATCACCTACGCTTTCTGTTCAGATGTTGGCCCATCTGAGATTATTCTTCCAGATACGAGTTCGCTCAACAAGGCTTTTTCACTAGATATTTCTCTCGTTGCTGCTGGATGAATATCCTCGCCGGATATCAGGAATTAGATATTCAATCAATAGTTTGATCACAAAACCAGTGCTGAAAAGTGATGCAGTAACTGAAGTAGCGTATAGGAAGCCCCTTATTTCTTCGCAGTTTTACAGAGTGCGTGGGGGTTGGGTGTTCGCTTGTTATTTTTTAATTAAAAACGAAAATGCAAACATAAATTTTCACGTCACTTTGTCAGCTCGATTATTTGGACCTCAAGTACACAAAAAGAGAACCTCATACTATAATAAATAGACAACAATGAAATATACCGGTATAGGAGTTCATTCAGTTTGGAAGTTTTGCTAATCAAGTATGCACGCCCTCCCAAGCCTGATTTTATTGGCCTCAGCCTTGCGCATTCGCCTTCTAGGACTATTCCTGCAAATTAAACCTCACAAACCCTTTAAATCTTACCTCAAAAATGACAACAAACAACAACCGAGCGGCAAACACCTTCCACCAAACCAGCGAGTATCCCATATGATCATCACATCCTTCGGGGCCATACACGGTAGATCTCACTGACATTAACGAACATGGTGATCGACGGAAGCCGCGATACCTCAAAGGATCGCGGTGCACCATAGAGTTCGATAGCAAGTTTCTTTACCTACGCATCTGCCACTAACCTGCATTGCGTAACATTGTAGAACTGCGATGACTTCATTTCGAAATCAGTTGCATCAAAGTATGAAAGAGATGAGTTCACATAGCCAATCATCGAACTATTCGCGATATAGTACATCGTTTTCGGAATGAAATCGGACGTGAACGCTATTACAAGCGCCTGAAGGAAAAGGAAATCGGATTATTCACAACGGCGCTATCCAATTTGAAAAGACTGAATTGAATAATCATAACAGCGAAAAAAAAATATTGGAGAAGCAGCCTATCAAGCAATCACGATTTCTTGTTAAAAGAGCAAAAATGGCGCGACCAACACCGAACCGTGATCAAATTGTCAAGCGGCCTTACGCTTGGGCGCGCCACCAAAATTGCATGTTACAATGTCAGAGATTGTTCCATAAACTACGTGATGAGAACGGGAATTTGCTAATATGTCCAGAATATCAACCAAAACGATTTCTTCGCCTGAAGTAAGAAATTTAGTTTTTTACGAGTAAATCAGGTAGTAATACTTTTAATAGTAAAATAGCCCACTTGTGCCGGAACAGGCTTTTGAATTGTAATAAGGAATTTATAGGCATCGAGCCTAATTTCAAAAATATTGTTGAGAACAGCAAACAGTGGAGCCAATGGGAATGCCACCACAAATAATGTAACGAATCCAAACTGCAGTACTGCAAAAACAATGAATTACTCGCACAAAAAAGAATATTCGTGTAATGACTCGATCTCAGGATATGTCGTCAAACAGAAATTGTCATAAGTAGGGCTTCGGTAATAGGTCAGCTTCACTGTTTCATCAATGTGGGCCAGCTTTAAACAAATACAGTAGATCATGACATTACTTGTGTGATCAGATGTACATTAATTCATCAAGAATGGTAGACTGTTCGCAAAATCGCGCTCAGCAACACATGAAGCATAATAGTCATTCTCCACCATTGCATTGTAGGCTACGAGATCGGGACCAAGGTATAAGTTAACCTTGGCAACGAGGAGGAAATTGAGAAGTGCATCCATATTCGTTCAAAAAGGAACAAAAACATTAGAGAAGGCGTAATTTGATTCTTCGGTCAAATCATAGATGCTCATAGGAGGATCACGTTGGAGAACTCATTAACATCGGAACTCTATTAAGGATGCGGGACACAAATAGCTCGAAATTGCCATCATAACACCAAACTAGGTTCTTCTCTTCGTGAATTGCGTTGTCTTTTGCTGTTCTTTGGTTCTACGAGTGGACCATAACTGCCATCAAATGTTCAACAAGCTCATAAAACTTCCGGAAACGATACGGATATCCAAACAAGTCTCTTCAAAGTTAGTCAGAATAAGATAAGGCAAATTCCAACAGAGCGAGAAGAACTGTTTCCACAACAAATTATTGCAAGTTGGACACCAATTCGACAAGCAACACCGCTGTGATCACCTTACAAGTAGTAGTAATTAAAATCAAGTCTTCTTTTGACACAATCCAAAGAACAATAATAGTTTCTGAGTTGGGATGTACACGAGTCTCTAAGGTGACTCTAGTACAATGACTCACGAAGACTTATTTTGCCAAAGCACTACACGAAAACCAAGAAGATGCGTGAGGGCATGGACGCTTAAAAATAGCGCGTTTCCAGGGCGACAAAGGGGCGCAAAGAGAGCTGTATGAATGTCAGAGATCGGCTAAGCTCAGTAAATATATGGATCAGAAAAATATTTATTGAAATACTCTGTGACACAGAGTTACCATAATTGAAAAGGTAAAGAGATACCTCTAAACGATATCCCGCAATTTTCACGTTCCATCATTATCCCTCGTGCCAGGCAACTGCGAAAGGCTGAAAAAATCAAGTGGCAATATACGCAGTCAATTTCCGTAGTAAACGAGCAAAACTCTGAATTATATACTTGACGTACACTCCTTTGAAGAACGCAACGTAAAACAGTGATGAGTAGTAGTTGGCGAATTGGAACAGAAACACTTTGAAGGTGTAACTATTGTCGAAATCAGCTTGCGTTCTAGGACATTCCCAGCGCGTCAACCGATGTGCCAGAGAGTTATAGAACTGAAATACATATGGTGGAAGCAAATAAAATGTGGCTGCCATCATATTACTGATATAAGTAAGCATGGCTGCCACAGAATAAGAATTAATCATCTCTAGATCAAGATATCATGCACAAATTATCGACGTTAAGGGAGGAGCCGTTTGTGGGACACTATGAGGAAGGCATACGATCAACGGTGGGATTTCCATTTGAATGACCGAACTAATGCAGAGTGGCAAGGTAATGTTGTCGAGTTTGAAAATATATAAACATGTTCTCACGCTGGCCCAAGAGGTGGATAGATCACTTCGATAGACGGACCATGCAGAACACTACGGACAAGAACAAGAACAATTAGGAAGATTCAATGTCAATCGCATGAAGCGGTTATAAGAGATATTGCCCAAAAATAACAACAGAAGAAGAAACTGTGGTCTGACCCAAAAAGTTAGCTATCTTTTTCTTTCCAGATAAATACGGCTCTTCTTGCTGTGTTACTGGATTATATCTTCTGGTCTTCACACGAAACTGGAACTCGGGGCGCACCGTATCCTAGAAAAGTATTGTGAAGTAATTGAAGGACACTACCGGTCATCTCAACCTTGCAGACGAAACATACGAAACAACACATTACCTCTTCAACGACAAAATCGAGCAGCCCCCATTTCCAGGCGATTTCCGCATGGTACCTTTTCCATCCCTCAAGGAAGAACGTCGCCCAAACGCACATTAGAGCAGCAAATATGACAGTAATGCCATTATCAAAAAGATACGACATCTATAACATATAAAGAAGTGAAAGCAATCGGGAAAGAATCAGACAAAAAAGAGTACCTTCGCATAGAGACAACTGTTTTTAAGAAGTTGAAAGTCGCAATAATTCTCACATTGAGGACATACGATGGTAGTTGCTCCAACGCCGTCATTTCCGCAAATGTCGTTGCTGAAAAGCAGGAATGAGTTGGTATCTGTAGCCTTCAGTGTCCTATGAGACAAGCTATAAAGAAAGCGTGCAAAGTATGATGTACTAAATAATCCCTGATGACATAATTCCCCTAATTGCCTTTTCCAGAGAGTTTATTTCTTTATTTTGCCGAGTCTCTTTGCAGGTCCTCGTCATTTCCTTCGCTTTGTGATCGTGTGCGAGTATTCCAGATTCTTTCTCTGTCACGATGTTCATCACCAAAATACGTCTATAGTGCATACAAAATGAAATAAATAAATTTTTGAAAAAAAAAAACATGTGAATCAACGTCCTTGAACATTGAGCCACCACTTATTACTGAATCGTTCAGAACTTCCTTTCTATAATAACACAGCAAATAAGTAGCAACAAGCAGAGCAGCATCATGGAAAAGGAAAACGGTAAGACTCACCTCACCACATCTTCAGACAAGTTCCAGATGCCAAACAATACGGATATAACACCCATAAAAGCTGCTAAGTATAACGATCTTGTATAATATCCTAACCATGCGAAGTAGAAGGCTATTTTTGTGCCAAAATATCGCCTAAAGTGATCCTTTTGGTAAACTAATGAATAAATACGGACCGCAACAAGCGGCTCATCATCGGAGCTAAGGTAGAACATAAAAGTCGACAAAATCAAATTCCTTGTCAACACAGTTACTTCTACCTAATCAATGGTTAAGACCATAATGAGGGATGTTTGAAGGTCCCTCCTAGCGCAGCCAATTCGAAGAGTATTCAAGACAACTAACTTTATGCAGTCTAGAGGCTGGTATTTCAAAATGTTCCTCCATGACACCCAGTGATTGTATAGAAGTTCTCGCTGAGATACTTCTCCTCCTCTTGGCACTTCTTCTCTTATTGTCTAAATAAATAAAAAACATAAGTAAAAAACAGGATTGACGACAAAGTCAATCCCACGCCTGTACTTTTCAGAGAACCGCACCTGATGGAGAGGGTAAGCGGCGTTGTACACTCCCTGTGCCAACAAACGTTCGATGCCGAAACGGTACTGGGACGTGCGTTTCCCTTTGCTTGTTACGGCACTATCGTAATGAGCTCGAGTAAGTAAATCGAAGACCATTCGCGATCTTTCCGCATTCGGAAACAAAATGTCTGGCCGATCCCAGTTCACAAACCTGAAAATGTAGAGCCTTTGCGGAAACTTATCAAGTAATTCAAAGTGTTTTGAAAATATGCCGATACTTGAAAATAAAATTTGCTTCACAAATAATGCGGAAATATCGTACTGTTGCCGACGATCGCTCGAGTAAGGCGCAGTGAAAAAATCTGGCTCTTCCAAAACCTTTCGCACACGTGCATCGAAATCAAATAAGCCCACCCGAGAAAGAATGCTGTCCACAAATCCAGGGAGAGAAGTCCTGTCCTAAATTTAATGATTACAGAGCAAGAAAACCACAAATAACACGAATTTAAAAGGGACATGATGCACGATATCGTCACAATTGAGCCCGCACCTGGAAAACTACATCGCTCTGTTGCACCGGAAGCTTCACAGAAAGGAGTTGTGCTTGCTTTTCTAGAACAGCAAATGGCGCATGAAGTAGAACAAATCGCGTGCGGCCGAGCTGAAAAAATAGGCACAACTAGAAAGATGCTTGAAATTGCTTCCAATGTTAAGAACTTTAAGAGTTCTTTCGACCATTGTCGGTACTAATTACCATTCTAAAAAGAAAGCAGAAGCAAAGTCAGCTGGGAACCACATCACAAAAGGATGCAGCATTCACGCAAGGCAGTCACGAGTATCGTAAAGTACAGTCATGAAATTGGCTAAAGAGCTCTTGCGAACGAGGAGAGAACAGGCTCAGACAAAGCTTAAACACGCTACAATTTGCAAACTTTCACCAAAATAATGGAAAACCGTCAGCAGATTTCTGAAATCGAATGTCTTTGACAAAGGCAATGCGCAGACTTCATTCTACTTCTTCTTCTTCTCCCTAGCGTTGGTCCCGATCAGTCGCAGGGTTGGCTGGCAAAGTACACTTCAGTATTGCAGCATAAATGCAGAGAAACTGAGAAACT